CTGTAATACGTGTCATCGCTGCTGTGACGTCTAGCTTTCCCCACTGAGGAACAATAAAGGGATTTTCTATTCTATTCATCTATCTGCAGCCTTTCCACTTCCTGTTTACTGTAGGTTAAATCTTTTCTCACGGGCCAACAACAAAATAAAATATCATTTTATCTTAAATGAAAATGCAACAGCTCACCTGTTAACTTTCATGTTTTGGAGCAGAAAAAGAGCATAAAACCTAAATATTTAAAGCTCAGTTTGCTCCACTGGTTTACTGTGATGCTCACCTGTTCCAGCCAGATACCTGCATCATGGGGTTGATCTGAGCTGAGGAGGAGACTCCTGTTGTTTTGTTCATCTTCATCATAATAATGACAACATTAGATGACAACAGGTGCTCACATAGGTTTGTGCTGATGAACATGTCTGAGCAGCTTGACCACGTTGTTGTGTGTCGGGGAGGAAACACAACCACAGAGTCGTGCTGGTTTGAGCGTGTCGCTGCTCGCTGGAGTTATATCAGCTCTGTCTGGACGTTAGTTGGAAAACTTTCTCTTTCAGTCGTGAACACATTACTGAGCGGCTAGAATCTCCGTTTCTGGGCTTCAACGTCAGAAAACAGCTGAGTGAACTCGGCGCTGAGTGAGAGGAGTGTAGTTTGTCCGAGACAGCGGAGCTGCAGACCGGCAGCAGACCCTGGAAAAACACAAAGGAGGGGGGTGCTTCGGCTCCGCGCTGACGCCACAAAGCATCATGGGAGTTGAAGTCTTTGCGGTAAAATCGGCCAGCGGGCCAGTTTAAATATATTTTTGATATTTATTTCGCGGGCCACATAAAAATGCTCCGCGGGCCGGCCTTGTGTCTGACATATGTGGTTTAGGGAAACAGAAAAAAATTCATTTTTATAAACTATATACTGACTCTGCCTGAATTAATACAGTGTGTTTATCCTACGAAGTGTGTCCTGAATAAGTAAAATAAACTATAATCTTCTGATTAAACATTCAAAGATCAATCAGATTGATATTTCATATTTATATGGGATCATCACATCTGATTGATCATGTATTACATAGGTAGCCACTCCTTAACAATACAGTAGTTAGCATTTCCTTTACAGAAGTAGAAAAGTATTGCACTAGAAAAAAAACCCTTTATTTTAGTCGACCAAAATAAGACAGAAACTAAAACTAATCAGATGACTAAATTGTGACTAAAATTAACTCATTCACCGCCAGCCGTTTCCTGATCGGTAAAGCCCTTCACTGCTAGCATTTCTCACCGTTTTTACAGTTTTTTTAAGAGTCACAGAACGTTGCACACTAGGATGATGTCGACGCCAAAACAACCAAAACAAAGAGGAGACTCACTTCTTACATCAAGAAGAATCTGTGTGTTTCGAGCGTTATCCGTTCTTTCATAATCCGTTGTTGAATTGTGATCGGCAGAAGCTTTTCCGGTTCGCGCCTCACTTTTTTTTACAGCAGCGGCCCAAAACGATCTCCTAACACATGGATTTTCTGCTTCCTGATCACGTGACGTGTGATGTACGCGGATGAAGATCAGCTTTAGAGCTGAGATGTTTGCTCTCACAGTGCGGGGGCTCGTTCCGACACCCACACTCTAAAAAATTGCAAATGACGGACGAATTTAGTTGTCATTTGCACTGAACGGTTGGATCTAAAATGACGACTCAGTGGCAGTGAATGATTTAAGAATTTAAGTGAAGACAAACAAAAATTAACATTGTTGGTGAGACAGTTCAGTTGTTAGATTAAGGCATTAAAAAGATGAACGTACAGCGAGGAGATAAGTTTTGCTTTGGGTTGTACAAACGGAAAAATAGGGGCTTCTCTCTCTTTAACCTAGCTGTGTGTCTCAGGGCTTGCTGGATCACTCACACACCTGTAATTATTAGTCTTAATTGGGGAGCCATGATAATGCTTCCTTGTGGGAAGCAAAGGGCCTCCCATTTAAATAAACTCACCCCCTGAGAATTCTAACCTCTGGTGCTGAGGTCACTGCGGTGGTCAAAAAGCTCCTCTGTGGCAAGGATCTAGAGGTGGATAGGGGTTGTACGAAATAGTCGACTAGTCGACTTCACGGCTCTGTAGTGACTTTTTATGCCTGTCATCGACTAGTCGCTGTCACGTGATAATGACTGACAAGATGCAGTCCTCGGAAAAGACAGCAGGTGATGAGCCCCTGCGCGTCTGGATCGAGGCGGAGGCGACGCGCTGTGCGGTACTGACACCGGCGGTAAAACGGACATTTAACCAAACTGTGACCTTTTCCCTCTTGCAATTTAACCTTCCCCTCACCCCCATCCTAATCTTAACCAGTTTGTGCATGCAAAGCTCTGATCGTTGACGTGCACTCCAGACATCTGCGTCCTGAGCACCGCCAAATCAGGTGTCACCACCTCAAAAACAAATTAAACACGCGATCGTTCATGTCGGCTCATTTCCTTTCATGTTTTCTGTCTGTTATTTGTGCCTGATGCGTTTCGCTGCTGCGGAGCGAGGCTCTTCACCTGTTGTCCTCCGGTGACGCGCCCCCAAGATTCCACTATCTCCGCTCCGGCACGAACTCCGCAGCAAAAACGGTCCCGTTGTAGTCGGCCGGCGAGCAGCGGCACTCCGCTGTTTTAGCGGTCGGTAGATCTTTTAGAACTGCAGTTCAAAGGTAACTCATGAGGTGAATATATATGAACCCAGGTAGCAGTTTCTCTTTAGGACTGAGAGGAGATGCAGGAAGATAATAAACAGGCAGGACAGAAAAATAGTCAAATAAAAACAAGTTAGTTTTTGTACCTGCTGGTTGCAACAAACAGACACCATTGAAGGTAATCAGAAGTGAGGAACAGAAAATGAAATAATTATTTTAATGTTTAGAGCAGCAGGAACTCCGAGAGGCTGCAGGCGCATCAGTGAGTTTGCGGCCGCTGCGCAGGGGGAGGGGTGAGAGGGCTGAAGCAGGGGGAGGGGGGAGAGGGCTGAAGCAGGGGGAGGGGGGAGAGGGCTGAAGCAGGGGGAGGGGGGAGAGGGCTGAAGCAGAAACTACCGTTGTTAAAAGAAATGTGTTTAACTTAGAAAATGTGGGCGCAATTTTAATTGTCAAAAAATTCCAGCGAACCTACCGACCGACCCCCCCGCCGCTTCCGACGTATGACGTCATCAACGACTAGTCGAAGTCGACTCGACTTTCATTACTTGACTGTCGACTTTAAAAAAAATAAAGTCGTGCAGGCCCTAGAGGTGGATGAGATCCGCCCAGAGTTCCTTAAGGCTCTGGATGTTGTGGGGCTGTGTTGGCTGACACGGCTCTGCAATATCGTGTGGACATTGGGGGCAGTCCCACTGGACTGGCAGACCGGGGTGGTGGTTTCCCTATTTAAAAAGGGGGACCGCAGGGTGTGTTCCAACTACAGGGGGATCACACTCCTGAGCCTCCCAGGTGAGGTCTATTCAGAAGTTCTGGAGAGGAGGGTCCGTCGGATTGTTGAACCTCAGATTCAGGAGGACCAATGTGGTTTTTGTCCTGGCCGTGGAACACTGGACCAGCTCGAAACCCTTAGGGGGTCCTGGAGGGTGCGTGGGAATTTGCCCAACCAGTCCACATGTGTTTTGTAAATTTGGAGAAGGCATTCGACTGTGTCCATTGGGGGCCCATGTCGGGGGTACTCTGGGAGTATGGGGTACCAGGCCCTCTGATACGGGCTGTTAGGTCCCTGTATGACCGGTGTCAGAGCTTGGTCCTCATTGCCGGCAGTAAGTCGGGCTCGTTCCCAGTGAGAGTTGGACTCCACCAAGGCTGCCCTTTGTCACCGATTCTGTTCATGACCTTTATGGACAGGATTTCTAGGAGCAGCCAAGGTGTGGAGGGCATCTGTTTTGGTGGCCTGAGGATCAGGTCTCTGCTTTTTGCAGATGATGTGGTCCTGTTGGCTTCATCAGAACGTGATCTTCAGCTTGCGCTGGAGCGGTTCGCAGCCGAGTGTGAAGCAGCTGGGATGAGAATCAGCTCCTCTAAATCTGAGACCATGGTCTTGATTCGGAAAAGGGTAGAATGCCTTCTCCGGGTCAGGGATGAGGTCCTGCCTCAAGTGGAGGAGTTTAAGTATCTCGGGGTCTTGTTCAGGAGCGAGGGAAAACTGGAGCATGAGATCGATAGGCGGATTGGTGCTGCATCTGCAGTGCTGCGGGCGTTGTACCGGTCTGTCGTGGTGAAGAGAGAGCTGAGTCAGAAGGTGAAGCTCTCGATTTACCGGTCGATCTACGTTCCTACCCTCACCTATGGTCATGAGCTTTGGGTAGTGACCGAAAGAACAAGATCGCAGATACAAGCAGCCGAAATGAGTTTCCTCCGTAGGGTGGCCGGGCTCTCCCTTAGAGATAGGGTGAGAAGCTCGGACATTCGGGAGGGGCTCGGAGTAGACCCGCTGCTCCTCCACATCGAAAGGAGCCAGTTGAGGTGGCCCGGGCATCTGACCCCCTGGACGCCTCCCTGGTGAGGTTTCCGGGCACATCCAACTGGGAGGAGACCCAAGGGAAGACCCAGGACACGCTGGAGGGACTACGTCTCTCGGCTGGCCAGGGAACACCTTAGGATTCCCCGGAGGAGCTGGCTTAAGTGGCTGGAGAGAGGGAAGTCTGGGCCTCCCTGCTTAGGCTGCTGCCCCCGCGACCCGACCCCGGATAAGCGGATGAAAATGGATGGATGAATGAAACAGACTTTGTGTTTATGTCTAACAGTTTTATCCTATTTTTATCTCATCTGTTGCTCTTCAGTGTAAAGCTAACTATGTGTCTGTTGATGCTGTGTCTTGGCCAGATCATTGACCCATTTGGTTAAATAAAGGTTAAATAAAATAAATGAATAAAGGACAGGAAAATAGTCACATAAGAAATAAGAAAACATAACAAGGCCCTCTGGGTGCCAAGGCAAAAGAAACCACCCCCGTACAAACCCTGCATTTTAATCGAGAGTGGAGTGTAGAACAGATTTACCACGAGGCAGGCAGGATGGACGATCTGTGCACAGTTGGAACACTCCATGAGAGTAAGGGCCGGGTCTCCGGTCTCCTCCTGGTTGGGCTCCTTACAGATCTCACACACAGCAGACAGAGGGAGGCCCGGCTGCAGGACCAGAGCATGATTAGAACAACTCTAACTCCTTCAGAGGTGTCACAGGCATCCCAGGGTGGTCCGGATGTCACCTCAGGACTTCTATAATAAAACTAGCGGGTTATCACAACAACTAGTCTGCTTTCTTTCAACATTCATTCAGTGTAGTTTTGTTCTTTTCTACACACAGAGTAGAGTTTAGGCTCCTGCTGTTTCTTTCATCAGAGCGTCACCGAGGTGTGTGGTGTCGCTCCCGTAGCTGTTCATCGCCCTCTACTGCCTACAGGTAGATAGCTACTCTGTGTATAGAAGAGAAGAGAAAACTGTCTCCTTCTACCTGGCTCTGGTTCAGAAAACACAGCAGCACAGTCATAATAAATACAGGTGAAGCTGGAAAAATGGGAATATTATACAAAAGTTGATGCATGTCACTTATCCAGCCTAAACGCTGAAACTAATCTAAGAGACAGACTCATTCCAGATGTTTCAGCCTTTATCTGGTATAACTGTGATGATGATGGCGTACAGCTGATTCAGAATCTCAGATTATTAGAATATTATGAATAGATGTTTTCTCAGTCTGAGCTGGATTACTGACCACCAGACTAGCTTTCCTGTTTCACCTGTAGAAGAAGAAAGGTTTGACTTACAGAGAGGCACTGCCGCAGCACACAGGTCTGTTTCAGTTTGCCTGGTCCTCCAAACTTCTTCATGTCTCTGCAGAAGTTACAGTCCCCACATTCTGGTCTCACACAGGCCTCGCAGCGTTTACACCTGCAGGACCACAGGTATTCAGACACGTGCCATTTAGAAAACTAATGTGTAACACACTCACACACACCTGACCCTGCGCCTCCTCAGCACAGACATAGAGGAGGCTGGTTTCTGGGGTCTGGGAATGATGAGTGTAGATGGTGTTTTAGGACGAGGAGGTGGAGGAGGAGGAGGAGGTGGAGGCTGATACCACGAGGGCTGTTGAACAGAAGTAGATAATCAGTAAACAGGCCAGCTACGTTTGTGCAGCTTCTAGGGCTGACCATCAACACTAGAAAGGGGCGGAGACTGGAAACGTGCTGGTGCTTACTCTCCGTGGCCACCTGATGATAGGCCTTCCTGTATAGGACAGCTTAGGGTTGTCGTTGGCATGCTCCCTCAGTAACGCCTGCAGGCAGACACAGCATGAGACACCCAGGACACTGGGGACATTTGATCTCACACAGGTGAGAAGTACCTTGACATGGTTGAGGAGAGCTGAAGCATTCTGGATCCCTGATGGCACACACTGTTTGCTGTAGGGAAGTGCCTCCAGTTTACCCAAGATGTTCCAGAGTCCCTCCAGCTCCAGAGGAGTCACATTAACTCTATATGGAGGCTTTTCGGACTGCTGACCTTCAGATTCTTCGTCGTTGCCTTCCTCTTGCTCCTCGTCAGCCAGATCTGTACCAGAAGTATTCTTCAGACCTTAAACAAACACATTTAGTTTAGCATGTAGGACTGTTACAACCAGAGGTTGTAAGTTGTTTTGATTTGGTATTCATAATGTTTCTTAGTGCAGGTGCCCACATCCAATTGGTGAACCAGTGGCCTGATTGGATAATTGATGGGAGCAGACCTTTAAGAGGGACGTCTACACCACCTGCAGCTGACCCTCATTCTCTGCTCATCCCAACCTGCCACCATCCCCTTAGTGTCCTGTGTTGAGTGCTGTGTAAAAGACCTGTTGTCAAACTTGACGAAAGTAGGGGCGAACCTGCCATTTAATTTCTTCATTCAGTTTTCTCCTGTGTTAGTAATCAGGGAGGTAAGTTTGGTTGCATTTCTTATTTTATTTAGTAGATAAGATGACTACTTAAGTTAGGGCTGTTTTGCTTGTTGTTTTGGCCTTTGGTTCACCCTGAGTTATATTTATCCTTCCTCGCTTTCAGTTAAAATAAAACTTGTAAATAAATATCCTTGTATAGAAGTCAAACTGTGGTGTGGTACTTGGAATTTGTGGAAAATGGGAATACGCCTTCATGTTGTGGCCTGGCCCCTCCTAGACAGGTTGTAACAAGGACGTCTCAGCAGGAGACTCTATTCCTCATTAAGGCTCTGACCACTGTGGCGTGCCCAAAGGCCAGTATTTACATCACCAATGACCAGAAATTAACTTTTTCATTTGCAGACACAAACACCCCATCTGTCTGGCCTACAAACAAGAAGCACTGCACAAGACCTTGCTACCCAACAAGGATGCCATCATATCTTTGCTCAAGTTCTCATGCAGAAGATGAGACCTCCTCTCTCTGAATGAAGTTCATCTTGCTTGAATCATAAATGACTTTCTTTTAGA